AAGGGGGGATGTAAGGAGCCCGCCCTATCACTATACTTAGCATCGACAGCCGATCACAGTAATGGAGAGTGACATATCTAATAATGAGCACAACACGACCGACAACCGGCATACCTCGTCCTTGGGCCGATAGTATAGTGTTACGTTATATTGAAATATCTGATAAGCTCCAGAGATCCGGCCAGTTATGAATGAGTCTCTGATAGGGTTCAGACCCTGCCGGTTATTAGTTCTGATCTGTCACACCCCGAGAGTGTTAAGTAGTTATTAGCTGGTGTAGCGGAAACCACAAACTGTCACTTGTTGTAAGGCGTTGAGTAACTGACGGGGGAGTCCGGCGTCCCGATCAGGACAAACTCTACTCCACGTACGGCTGTTAACAAGGTCGTTCTTTCTCAAAATTTGATCCATTATTGACACTGGAACATGTGTCACGGAGTAGGTGAAGTAACGGTTGATTTGATAATTAATATCTATATTTAATTAATATAATTTCAACACTTAGAAGGACATTCAAGGTCATCCAGCATCCAAGGACATTGAATGACACTATAAGGACATTCAAGGACACTATAGGAAGTTAGGGTTAATTGGTGGAACACTAGGGTTGCACGGCTCACCTTAGGTTACCTGAGGTAAATACAGAAACTTAACTAAATATGGTAAGTCCCTTTTTTCCATGCTACATAGCACAGATTTAGGGACAACTTCAAGTTCAATGATAAGACGTTCATTCATTCAAAGATGAGTAAACAAGTCCTTTAAATTAGATCAAGGACAACCAGAGTTGTCGTTAGAGACAGAGACGTTCTCTTGAATCAGTCTTCTCTTGGAGAGTCTCGGCCTGGCTGTGTCCAAGGGAGGAGTCTCCGCCTGGCTGTGGCCAGGGGAGGGAGTCTTCGCTTGAGCAGTGCAAGAGAGGCTCACACTTCATGTAAGCTCTGTCACACTGGGAATAAACTACATCAACCACTTCAAGTTTCCAACTAATTCCTTATGAGCGATGCTCTAGGACCACCGTACATGGAGACAGTATTTTGCCCAGCCACTCTGACCAATCACGGCATTTCTAAGACTTGGCTCTTAGGGGCTTTTATTTCCAAGGCACCATAATATGACAAATGCCTGAATCGTATCATTGTTTGAAACTCCTGTTATTTGTTGCAGAGCATGGTCTAATCAAAGAGACCAAAACCCCAGAGATCAAACATAGTTGGTACATCATAAAGGCTATATTGTCAAACCTTGTCGACTAGAGCAAAAATAAACAGCAAACCACTACTAATGGCTGTAACATCCAACAAATTCATCTAAGCTGAACCAGCCCCCACTGAGCCAAGGCACAGTCCCCGAAGTCTGGGTTTCCAAGAGGCTGGACAGCTGCAAGAATAGCTAACAACCCATAAGTTAGCTAATGTTCTGTCACAAGCCAATCAAATAACCAGGGGTTTTTCTGAACAGGGGAACAAGGGCGCTGCGCCCTCATGTAACAAACCAGCGCCCTCATATCAATTTTCAGATTGAAGCCTAAGTCTTTTTCAAAATCATCTTTTTCCAGTAAAAATACAAAAACAACACCACATAACAATACATTCTGGCATTACAAACTATGTTACTCTCATAAAAATTCCAAAATCTTACCACAAACTTGAAAATTTAGCTCTAGTAGTAAAAGTTTGAATGGAATAAACAATGTTCATTGAGACTTGCTCAAAAACATGTAGCTAGACCTCCTTCATTTGCATACTATAGAACAGGCTCTGAAGTGAAACATGAGACCTGAGTTTGTAGCAGCTTGGATGAATGTGTTGCAATTGTGCCATGGGAAAGGTTTCAGCTTGTGGCAAACCCAATGTTATCATCTGGAGCTACTAGTAACATTGATCACTAATTGTGTAAGTGTATAAAGGGTGATTTGCAGATTGTGTGTACTGTTGATTGTACTTATATTTTATAAGTGAAATATGCAATGCATGAATAGAAATTTGGGAAAGGTATATTGAGGTTAAGAGTTCAAATTTCCCCCCTCAAGTAGCCTCAAAATGTCCCATTTCAACTTCAAATTTTCAAAGGCTTCAAATGGCGGAAGGGGGGATACCCCCCTTCCGCACCAACCCCCCCTCGGTCGCTTCGCTCCCTCGCCGTGATACTGCTCCCTCATGCCAAATTTTTCTAGAAAAACCCCTGCACCATATTCTTAACATTCCAGTATATAATATAGATAATTATGTTCTGCTGACATTCTATTATACTACTAGTATATCTTATGTTGTGCAGCCAAAATGTTTTCTGTGCACCTTAATTTTTAGGTTAGGCAGACCAGTACACCTACATGTATTCTCAAAATTGCATTACGAACAATGTTTGAAACCATCAAGTGTGACTAGTTACCACATGGGTTCTGCCTGCGACACACTGATGACAAAGGCCTCCGAGGTCTGTCCTGATAACGTTCTACCACTTCTATCTACTATTGTTCCTGATACCTGAAACAAACAAACATACATATATACAAATAGAATGAAAAAAATGAACTGTATATCTTGATCAAGTTTGACATGCAGAGCTAGAAAGTTACCCTCACTCTGGTCACAAGAAGAATGACAATCATTGGGTGCATCAATGAGTCTGGTCTTGTTGTTGTTGGCCAGACTGGTACTTACAAATATAGGTACTGGCTTGTATTCCTCTTCAAACAGCTGGGACAGGGCAAATAGGGCTGCCTGAAACATGAGGAGTACAAACAAAACATCAGTTTATGTAAATAAATTGGCAGTATGAAGTACAACAAAGTTAAATCTGTCCTACTGAGCACCTCTGCATAAGGACCACTTATAATTACGGCCACTTTTACTGGTCTCTTACATCATTTTCCCCTGAATTGGAAGAGCACTTGTTATCACCATTATGGACATAAAATTCTATTCAGACCCTTACTTACTACTGTCCTAAAATTTCACCACAAATGAATTACATTACAGCAGCAGTTACTGCACCTTGGAATTGGCTGTGTCAAAGATGGTTTCCACCATGAGTACATCACACCCTCCATCCAGTAATCCCTTGGCCTGCTCAGCATAGGCATCTACCAACTCATCCCAGGCTGGAGGGGGACAGGAATACATGAACCAATGGGCAGAGATGTATCTACTGAAAGACTAGTTTTCCACTGGTTGCAGAAAGGCAGATACATGTACAAACTATGCACAGAAAACAGTG